AGTTTTCCGTGTCTGTTTCTGTGTCCGTGTAGGGGTGTGTCTACCTCCAAATGAAATTTAGAAGTTATGATGAAAAATCTTTCTAAAGGATTAGATCTGAGGATTGGAGAGGAGGCTCATCTCTCTCCCGTGGGGCAAATCTTCTTGATTAGATTCCCAGTGCGAAGGAAGGGAGAACATGCTAGGGATCGATCTTAGGCCTATCTCATTTCCATCCTTTTTCTATTTCTTTCCTCTTATCCTTTCTCCTCTCCCTTTGCTCCTTTTCACGAGTTCCTTCCCTATCTGCTCACACCAGTCTCGGCGCCAATCTTGCCTCGCTCGTGAAGGAGGATAGGTAATCATTCCTATCTACTATATATCGTATTTTCCCCTTCGGATCCCCAGAGTCGAGTTAGTTACAGAGCCCAGTCATCAAACTTACTATACATAAAGCAATGTGGTTTTTGTATTGCAGCTGAATTACAGTTATTGTTATCATTAACCAATGAAGGTTAATTACTAACCGATGAAGATTTCACCTAGATTATGGCAATAATTTCATTCAGTTTAATTATTCTTTATTTATTTTATTACATATGCTTTAGTTCTAGTTCTTGGTTTAGTGGGAAGAAAAGATGCATTTTTTCTCTACGATACCACCGAATGAAAAAAAGAATAGAGGCTGTCCTTGAGACGAGCAGGATGTACACCAGTAAATGCGATAAGAAAGCACAAGATGGCGACCAATAATATCGCTGACATTCCATAACGCCATGAACATTATCCACCTACCCAACGTGATCGAACTGTCACGTGATCCCACTCCCTTTCCGTGGTCAGGTCCCTTCTTTGATATCATTCATGACGTCACCAGAAGCCGTTATCTGACGTTGAGAAAGCTGTGTGCCCAGTGCGCATTTCGTCGCATCGCAACGGAAGGTGTAGAGAGGTAAGGGCCAAAGAATTCAGTGGAATTCTTTGGCCATTGCAAAGGGGAATTCTTTCAGGGAATATGACTCTTCTGGGCCATCACGAAGGAGAACATTCCATTATTGTGGGAGAAAATCACAACCCCACCGGCGAAGATGAAGTTGACTTGCTCATCCGAAACCTACACTGAGAATTTCCAGTGTGCATCAACTCGATGCAGGAAAATCTGTCCTTCATGCGATGCACTTTGGCCGCGTCACAGTTGGAGTGGAAGCGACGTACTTCGAATGCATGCATTAATAATGTATCCAGCTAATGCAGTTGGGATTTCCATCTCATGGTTCCCTCACTGGTCCCATGTCTACGGTTGAATCCACTTTCATATGAGCCAGGCACTTAGCAAAATGCACCACATTAGACCAACTCGATTTGATTTTTTTTCCCACCTTCATTAGGCTGTGTAGAGTCAATTTCGAACCCTACGCAAGACTTTCGCGATGAAATGCCTATGCATGCAGCAAAGACTCTGGTCGTCTTGCACAGGAAAGCAAGGAAAATCATTTTGCAATCAGAAATGCAGGGAAATACGATTAGAAGGGGAAATTTCCCACACGGCCTACCGTTTTTTCACACTGCCTGGGGAGGGTAAATGGGTTCCTTCGGGGATTGAATCCAGAGCCATCACATCACAGGATTAGCTACACGCAAGGAGTATGGTACATGAGGAGAAAAAAAAAAACTCATCACAGGAAGTGCCCGTAATGAAACTGGAAGCAAGTTCATCTGCTCACGATTTTTTCCCCCCGGGAAATGAAACATTTTCAGATAATTTTTGTGTAACAGAATAACAACTCCATTCTTGCCTTGGCGATCTCGTTCACAGTCACATTGTGGTTTCGCACTCTCCGCCATACTTTTGCGAATCCTCATTTATATTCTACGGACTGATTGACGCATGCAATTATGCAAGCATGAAAGTTACTCGCAGGAGCAAGCCACCCAGTGTTTTTTTGTGCACTCATGAATGCAGAGAAAAAATTATACCTGGCTGTGCTCTCACGGAAATGTCATACGATGTCTATAAAGGATTCCGAGAAACTTTAATGGGAGCACAGTCATACATATGAAGACGCCGACACGGATTAACCGATCTCTGGGAAATACCCGACGTTCCCACAGGGTACATCCTTCTTGAAAATGGCTTTGGTAAGTGAACAACGTCTGCCTCTAATCATACACGCGGGGACGAGTATTTCGACCCCTGCTTTCCCTTCTTGTGTGCCGCACGCCTGGGCCTCGTTGGCACATAACGTAGCCGGTGTATGTGATGGGTGTGTTCTGTTTTGGATAATATGCTAACAACGAGGGAATATCAATGAAACTGGACTCGCAAAGTGTTAACACAAGTCCTCACACCACAATCCATGAGATGCGTACAGCCATCGAATGATCACGAGCCAGGGATGCGGGGACTAGGCTAGAAGGCAACGCACTCTCATGCAGTTACGAATAATTCTTCTCAACAGCTAAAGCATTGTCTTGAGAGTATGTGAAGGTTTCCTTCGACGCAATGGAGTAGTCGCTGGAGTACTAGTACTAAAGTACTAGTTAAGTTTACAGAGGATTTGTAGTTCAGCTGGTTTTTGTTCAGTTTGCCGCTCCAAATCTTGAATTGCGAGATCTCACTTGAAGAATCATGAGGATAAGGGCTTAAGATGAAGGTTGTTAGGTTAGCTCCCCCGATTAATCAATGGGAAAGTTTCCCACAAGTCCCAGTTACTTTTGATAACAGTCGGCAGGCATTTCTTCAAGCAGCTATCGAAGAAGTCTATAAGGTGAATACCTACCGTGAGAAAAATATGGTCTATCCGAATGCGATGTACTGAAAAATTAAACATACCCATGAATCACACTGCAAAATTTTGCGTGATCTGAAGAATATAGGAGAGGAGCTAAAGTAAATTTTGTAAGTGCCGTACAAATATTTTTGGGAGAGACTGGCAAAAATATGTGTGGTGTGAGTCCCCATTTGTCCACCTGGGCACGAAGGAGTCGCTGAGGTCAACACCTTATGCTTCTCGTCCCTTCTCATAGGTCTCGGTAGCGTTGAGGCATTCTACCTATTCCACGTATCCTCATAGCTTGAAAATGAGATGGTTCATCCATTCCATCATCTATCACCAGGAGGGAAGGCAAGTAAATGCCAAACGATTGACAGTTACTGCGGTGAAGCTGACAAGGAAATGGGAACAATCAAATAATGAAAAGGAGATAACCGTTTTAACGCATTATATCGGCGAGCTCGAGTTATGGTAATCTATTAGTAATTAGAATGGATTGTTGGTGGAATCTAAGAGTTTCCCCATTCACTTGCTATCACATTGCTTGGCAATTAACAACCTGATCCAAGTCCGCTAAAAAAAAAAAAAAACTTTCTTTTTTCGGATGAAAGGATGGAAAGGCAGCAAGGAAAGAAATTGCTCCTGCATCCTTGTGAACCTTGGCGACGCAAGATCTTGTGTTCTGCATTTTGCGTATTTTTATTCTAGCTTAGAGGCCGTCAGGAGTTTCCTTCATTCACTTTCCCATCGCCACTTAGGGATTCGCTGACTGGGCGAATATACATAAGTTTTAACAATAGAGGAAGTGGACAGGGCCATGAAAAGGGATACGTGACATTTCCCTTGGCCACTGGCATTGCTCCCTTTTATCATCGTCCTTAACGACACTCATATGATAGAACCCATTAGCCTTTGAGCCTTTGGCAGTATACAGACTGCATACCGACTATAATTGACCTTGCAGCGATATCTTTGAGGGGGCTTCCTCGTCTGCAGGCCCAGTATATTCGCCCAGAACACGAAGGATTTTCGGATAATCATAGGAACAATTATACTGTCAACCAGGGTCATATCAGCTCCACCGACAAAAGTCTACTCCTTTTTGATTAATGAGGATGAGATGGAACGAGGTCCGCTTACAGGGGCGTACCTATTTTGGGGAAATATCATTAGAGGATATGTGCATAAGAGGAGTTCCTCTGCCCCCACCCTCATCTCCTTTTACAGAGGCGAGGTCCGCTCCTGCCCTTTTCCTCACTCGATCTTCATTACCACCCGCTGGGTGGTGGGAGATGCGCCTTTCTTTTTCCGAGCGAATATAATGTACACATTAGTCGTTGCTTCGTATTCAGACTCGGGCTGAGTCACGGTAAATATTGAATATAGTCGTAATGTCTGCAATAATATTGACAGAAAATCTATGACATCTAAACTTTCAATATTTGCACATAAATTAGCGTATATATATAGTGAACACCATCAACTTTTTCCCCCAACAGTGAAATTTACTCTAATGTCCGTATAAATGTCCCACCCTCATTGGTGAATCCAAAGTAAAAGTGCAAGAGAGGGAGATTTGAAAATTTTCCTCTTTCCATCTCCTGACGTCTTAAAACGATAGAAATCCGACGATATAATCATGGGGCAACGTGTAAATATTTCTCCTGAAGGCAGGCCCCAGCAGAGGGGAAAAGAGGTCATAAAGTTATAAAATGAAGAGAGCCGAAATACACCCGGCGAGACCGCCAAAGCTAAAAGATGGGAAGGGCGGGGAACTCATTTTGAGGGTGCAGATGTGGGGACTGGCGGCCTATGAAACCCTCGTAGAGGCCTTCGGCCTGAGCCTAGGGTGAAGCCAAATGACTGTCGTTTTCTGACTCCTAAACTCGAATCAACAGCAATCTTAATACTGATAACAGATATCTAAAAGACCTCTAGCGTCCTTGAACTGGAATGCAAAGGAGTAAGGCTTCATCTTCAATGCAACCAGGATAAGGCCAATGACAATCGTGATGTCTGGCTCTTCTCTGGCTTTTAATTTTATTTTTCAAGGCGAAAAGCTGCAGAAGTACTTGATGCTTCAATATTACTTGATGCAATCCGTACATTCTGCAATTAGTAATAACTAATTTAAACTGGAGAGATATTTCTAAGCTACCCTGAACAACTTAAACCAGAGAAGAGAACCGTCTCCAACCCTGGTTCGTGTTAAACAACGATCTAGAAGCCCTTCCGTCCGAATAGTTAATTGAAGAAAGTCATGTGGAAGAGATGGGAGATCCTGGAACATACCGTGGTTTTTTCCAGACACCGAAGGAGATGGTGATGCTGGAGCTCAAAAATGTCGTCGTCCATGACATGCTCTTCCCCGTCTTTATTCATGCCCATTTCCTCTTGAGCAGCAAGTCGGGCTTCGGCCGCTTTCTTTCGACTAACGAACGCCGCTCCTGACGTCGCCTTCGCCATCTTGATCCGGGCCAAACGCGCTTTCTGCAATGGACACAAAGCACTTGCATTAAGGGGATTCCATCCGCAAGGGATACCTAATGATGCTCGGCGAAATCGGACGAGAAGAGGGACGATGAATCGGTGGCCATTGTGATAGACAGATAGATAGGGCACGGTCACCGGAGGAGAACAAGGAAGCGAATCTAGGGAAAGATTCTGCTAGAAGAGTTTCCTAATAACCAGGTCCTCGTGTTGTCTCTGCCAATACTGCATGGACCCATCCAACTGGCATCATTCTCTGGCTCTGTGTGAGGCCAGGCTCCTCTTTCGACTTTATTACTGCAGGGAGACCTTGAGGATTCTGGGCGTCTTCTGATGGAAGACGCAATAATTCAAGAGGGAACTTTGGATCAGTAACCCGGAGTCTCTTTTCCTAGACCACTCCTTACTGAATTTTTTAAATGCGTGAAAATTAAAAAAAAAACATGGTGACATAATAAATAAATAAAAAGCCTTGTTGTTTTCTACGGGAGAGGGATAGCTTCGTAAATGCGACCAACCCTGATCAGTTAGATAAGAGATCGACATTGGAAAGCTCTGAGGTTTTGGAATGAGGACCAAATTTTTGTCAGTACCTTTGCCAGAGCAATACCATGCCCCGTCACACAATTTACCGGTGGATCATTCCACCTCAAGTGTAGCAATGGTCTGTGCTCGATCACCAATGAAATTCAATTAAATTTGGCATGCGATCGACTCTTGAGAATCGCATACTGCCATGTCGTAGGACACTAAGACAAGGAGAGCCGAGACAAAACCCTAAGACATGAACACATATCTCAAGTCCTTTCAGAAAATAAAAATTGAAGGGGAATCCATTATCCTCTTGAGGCAACATGGGAATGGAGCAAACAAGTTCGATATATTTGGAGTCTATTTACTTCCTACTACAACTTCTTTTTCCTCCAGCTTGGGACACGAAAATTCCCAAAGAGAATAGAAGAGAACTGAGCCGAAAACGTCCATTCCAATTTCCCAAGGGTGTGAGGATTTCCGCATACCCATTATCCCACTCGTTACCATGGCAATTCCGGAAATCATTTCCTCACCCTAGCCCTAGGGGCCAGCATGTATTTTTTTCCTTTTACCATGATGGAATACGAGCTAAAAATAGAGCTAATCAAAGGGAACTCCCAGTCCGACAATGAACTATTCCTATGTTAAATCATCAGGGACTTACTAAGTGTTTAAGGTAATTTCACGTCCTGAATCCTTGCGAATGAAAACTGTCATAGGAGAAGTCACGCATCATTATATCGAGAGTTGGCAATGTTCTTTCCCGCAGCGCTTAAAGACATTGCCTCTGAGGCATTTATAGCATTATAATAAGACCATATCCGGCTTTTACAGAAACTCAAATGAACTTTTATGTATTGCCGTGGAATCCTTCAAAACTGGCGCACTGAAATTGGAATATATCAATACGAGGATTAGAAATGACAGAACACATGCAACCAGACATTACAAGCCAATGGATCCTTCCGTATTAAAGGATCCAAAAGTGTAAAAGTGGCGGTATTCAAAATTCCAAAAGCAGAGTTAGCCCATTTTGTCAGATGGCAACATACTTAAATATGTTGCCATCATAGATGCGATACGATGCCAACCACACTGCCATAACAGAAAAGTTGCAACGGCTGCTGGTGGAAGGTAAAAAAAAAAGCCATAATCCAAACGAGACATGAAGCAAGTATAAGAGGTTGGTTAGATCTCGCACTTCCGTCAGAACCCTTACCTTATTTTACAGAGTAGGGAAGATCCAGTAATTGAACGAGAGCTTCCTTAATCAAGTTACAGACGAAAACGAGCCAAAAAGGCTTGGCCCGATGCATCCTGCAATATGCATGACCATTTACTCGTTCATTTTTTATATATATTTTCATCGTAGATCAAAGGCTGCACTCAAAAAGTCCTCGGACCCTGGATTTTACTTATATACAGGTATAAGAGTCATCTTCCATTCATCAAAACTTCTTCCAAGAAGTTTTCCTTCCTTCTTCCAAAACTTCTTCCTGTATGCATGACACGGATAGACACGAATCTCGAGAGATATTCACGGCCCTTAAGGAATAAACAAGGCATGTTGAGAAATTGCTTTCCTCAGCTCACTCTTCGGGCAGGGGGGGGGGAGGGGGACGTCAAATCAACCTCATACAAGAGAGCCTCCTCTGCGCACCTCACTCAAATATTTTTTTTTAGAGCGAGCCACCGTTGATTTATGGTTGACCCATAGATCAACCTTTAGCCATCGTTGAGCTCTCGATGGCTGAAGGTTGAGAAGGAGTCGGATATGTCCTGTCGGCCCTTCATCGGGGCTAGTACGACTCACTGTTGGAAAACTGCATTTGCCTCGAAGATAAGCCAAAGATAAGTCGATAATCCAGGCTACATGAAAACGGACTGAACATATAAAAAGAGTTGAAACTGCATCTATTACGCACTTTGGGGAGATGTTTACCATTCTGTTCTACCCCCCTGCTGGGAACTTTTCCGTCGATGATCCTCTCTCTATCTTGGTGGAAGTACGGCAGGGAGAGCTATCTTTTCTTGATTGTCTCCTCGAGATGCATCAATTCACAGGATTGAACCCCCTTTATAATGCTTTCCAACATTCACAAGATTCGCCTTCCGCTCTGGAGTGAATCATGCAGGATATGTCGAGTGGTAGGTTTTTTCCAGTTTAATGGCAGCAAGAGAACGAGAGGTAACCGACTTAAGTTGCTTGAACCGCAGGTGCGGCTCAGGTCTCTCGACACGTGATATTGAAATGGGCGAAATCGCCTCTTGATATCACTAACTATCTTGAATCTTGAATCTTGAGTGATCTTTATTACCACACCAAGTCTATTTCTTCAGGAGTGGTCAGATACACCTGTACAGGCAGAAATAACGCTAGGACAACTGGGGCACAAGTGTGACTTGGCCGACCCACTCATTCGCCGAAGATGCGCCAACTTTCTCAGGTGTGGAGCGATTAGCCAAATGAAAATTCTTGACTGGGAAGCGGTCTTTCACAGACTTCGCTCTTACTATGCAAAATTTCCAAACGAACTTCTCTTTGTCCATAATCCATCCTAGGGCTATAACAAATTGCATTGCACAGCTTTCCATAGTTTCGGAAGTACAAAGCCCAATCAAGGGAACCGAAATTACCAATTACTTTTCTCAACCAATGAATATTTTAAAGCGAAACTCTTCTTTGCCGGATATAGTCCTAAACCAATCCCAAGTCAAATTTCAACACTTCTCCTCATAGTTTCTGAGAATTTTGGAACATCCATCCTTTCAAAATGCGGAAGTAATCTATCTTGATGTTGCCTAGGCGAAGCGCAAGATGAAAGACAGACCTAACGTGGGCGAAGCTTTTGCTACCGACCATGAGATTCATAAATGACCTTGGAACAGCTGGAGGCTGCGATGATCAGTGGAGAGGCCCTGACAAGCAAAAAAAAAAAAAAAACAAAAAAGAGAGAGATTTGTGAGAGATATGGTCACTATTGACAGAATGAGAGCTGGCCTATTGTGTAGATCCCAGCACCCTTTCATCGTCGTCATCATCCTCCTCTTCCTTTCGACAGAAGGAAAGGCTGGGTCTCAGACTTCTACATCACGTGATAAGCACTCCTCCCATGGAAGGAAAAGAAAAAGGGGCTCGTCGAGATGGAGCACTCCAATAATGTCTGACAGCTGTCCTCCAATCTCCCTTCGCCCAATTTCATTAGGGATTATGGTCCTTTTTTTCGCGCAGAGAGCTGGATACGGCTTCGTGAAAACGTCTTCCCCATGCAAACTCACCCCCTCAATAATCTCTCTTCAGTCTGTCTGTAGAGTGGAACGTCTTCCCTTGATTAAATTACTGCTACGAAGAACATGAAGTGATTCAATTATGTCCCAGCCTTTTCTTCCTCACACGACGAGTCTTCCCATGAACTACGGAAATGATGTTCCTCGACATAAAAAAAAATCTAAGTCCACTAAGAGAAAAAGGCGAATACTAGCGAGGGCCAAAATTCTAAGTTTCTCTACTTGTAGAGGGTCAATTCGCTAGCCCAAGCTAAGACTAGCACACAACGAAAACAATGTATGTTCCCCTCAAACGAAAAGAGGGCAGAACGTTTAGCTTTGTCTGCCTTTACACTTTTCCACTATTCCAGATTGGCAGGGCCGGCTCTAGCTGTTTCGGCGTCCTGTGCAAAAAGACTCCCGAAGCTTTCCCCCCCCCCCGGAATGGAGAAGGGTCAATCCCTAGCGTTCAAATTGATGCCGAAACGGTAGGCATTTTCACTTTTTGAAGTAAAACTGAGGCTGGCGTCCATTATTACTTTGTATATTTAGTTACGTTTCGGTGCCCCGGGTAAATTTTGCGCCCTGTGCAGGGGCACACGTGGCACATGCCTAAGGCCGGCCCTGTAGATTGGATCGCAACGTCTCCCTGCATTGGCAATGCGGATTACACGTGACGCGAGCGATTTCCCAATTACCAACTAGCTACTGGACATGAAATGGCCAAGCCGATTTCTTGGAACTGAAGTACTGGAATTGATCGCATGTACGAGGTGTGATCAAAAAGTTCCAAGACGTAATTTTTTATGACGCTGTGGTGACTCTTTCCGACTGCTGATGGTTATATCCTTTAAACTGATCCTCTTTGGCATCTACACAATTTTGTCCGGCGTTTCTTCAGCCACTGAAAACATTGCTGACACTCATATTTTGGAATCACCAGCAGCGCTCGCAGCGCGTTCGTAATGCTGTTTTAAATGTTCTGAGATTTCCTTTCTTTTGCAATTTCAGCAGTTTCTGACCTACCCTGCAATCCCGTGCTTCATCAGCCATCCAACTCGCCGGATTTAGCTCCTAGTAATTTATTTTTGTTCCCTAAGCTAAAGAATGCGCTGAAAGGAAAGAGATTTCAGGCATTCAAAGCAAAATTGTAAACGCGCCGCGAGCGCTGCTGGTGATTCCAAAAGATGAGTGTTAGC